GGTAATCAGGATGGATAATGTAAGCCCTCCTGTCCTCAGTCACCTAATAGTCAATGGAACAGCATGTGATCTAAAGTTGAATAGGTTTGAGGTCTGCCTTCTCAAGTTACTAGTTAATAAGTCTAATATGTAGTTGTTATAAGCTGCACCTCCCATTCAACTGTTTATTATTCGATGGTAGAGAAAATTTGTCGTGCGAGGTACAATCGCCGCGAAATTCTTGTTTATTAGTGGAAATAGCTTCCTCTCTGGTATGCAAACATGCATGTAAAGTATGGTGAACAACAACCACACTAAAACCAATATGTTGGCGTCACTTGGGACATAATATGCCATCTATGACTATATTCTATAAACCTCCTAAATTATAATATATAAATAATAATCCCAGTAATATACAAGTATAGAAGAATATTCCCAGCCCGAGTGTAGATTCCTGAGTGTCTAGGTATAGCGGGGAGGTGTGACGTCACGTGAATCCTCGGAGAAGGTGTGACGTAGCGTGTATCCACGGAAAAAGAAGCCACAAAAAGAGGGAATAAGTGTCAGTACGGACGGACGGATGTGACAAAGTCCGCGGAATGCGGAGAATTTCTAGTACATTCTTAACGAGCTGGGCTTTAACAAAAGAGTACATGTACGTAGTTGAAAAGAATTGTGAAAAAATGCATCTTATGAATAAAATAGGGACAAATCACGCGTTTCAAAATTTTAGGAGCTGAAACATAGTAACACTACGTCATAACAAAGAAGCAGACAGTTATTAGGAACTGTTTCTTATTTTCAAAAAGTTATTTATATTGTGCGAAAATGCCTGTATTATGAGAACTAGTGTAGTAAGTTTAAATGTTTATGAACTATAAATTTAACAATATGTAGATGAGAATTGTCTAGATTTGTCAATTAATTTCCTACCACCAACCAAGGACGAATCTACATAAAGTGGGTTGAAAAATGAACACCCAAACAATAATCACCTCCTCCTTCTCCTTCTCCTTCTCCTCCTCATCTTCCTCTTCGTCTGAAGAAGAGTAAAGTGAGTTGAGCAGCTCGTGCTCACTCAAATTGCTCATCATCTTCTTGGTCAGTATCTCTCTTAACATCCGGCCACTCATCCTGTCCTCTGGTGTTCAAATAAATATGTGAAAATGTACCTCAAAGTATGGATATTGATATCGGCTTAAAATGTAGCAAAACATCTATCATCCTCGCAACAAGATGATTTTCAGAAGACCACTTCCAAAAGAAATGGCAAACTAAGACAAATAACGACAAGAAATGACAACGTAAGACAAAAAATGGAAATTAAAACAAGAAACGACAAACTAAGACAAGAAAAAATAACGTAAGACAGGAAACAATAACGTAAAACAAGAAACAATAACGTAAGACAAGAAACGATTTAAACGAAAAACAAGAAACAATAACGTAAAACAAGATACAATAACGTAAGACAAGAAATGACAAACTAAGACAAGAAACAATAACGTAAGACAAGAAACAATAACGTAAAACAAGAAACAATAACGTAAGACAAGAAACGACAAACTAATACAAGAAACAATAACATAGAACAAGAAACAATAACGTAAAACAAGAAACAATAACGTAAAACAAGATACAATAACGTAAAACAAGAAGCAATAACGTAAGAAAAGAAGCAATAACGTAAGAAAAGAAGGTAAGGAATGACAACGTAAGCAAAGTGACGGATGTTCTCCCAAACGTTCAATTAGCACTGCATCGTTAGCAGGATCTTCTTTATTAACATCTCTGTTAAGTTATGTGAGCCGACCATCGCAGGAATAACGTGGTATAACATGCTGCTATATCCTCCGGTATTGGATTGCAAAATCCCATAATTTCCCACAACAGCAAAGATTACCAACTATATGGGATATTGAGAGCATGTCACTCTGTTATGATGTTCTAATGTTGCAAACTCCCCGCTCTCAACAGCTCTGTAAGGTTTCTGCCAGGTACTTGTGAAGCAACCTGACAGACTGACGTATACTCCACAATATTAAGAAGCTTGAGAAACTAATAATACGCCCTGCATTCTTACTCGGGGATAACGTTTCGAGTTTAGTTTAGAAGATTAGTGAGAGAACAAGGTGACAACTGATATTATAGCCCTGTAGGCCTGTATGTGACATACAAAGACACGCGTCTAGTCAATATACTCACCAGTTATTATGCAGACGTAATTGTGTACTAATTTTAAGAATAAATACTAAATAGTGAAGCCATGTACTCGTACAGTGCAGTACAGGGCGGGATTTGGGTTCCAAAGGAGACTGAAAACCGGTCCGTTTTGACAACGTCTTGACATTTTGATATTTAGTGTAACTTCTAGAGGAGTCTTAAAGTGCCTCAATACAGAGGGGGGGGGGGGGCGGGGGGTCGAGGGGGTGGCCGGGGTGGTCGAGGGGAGGGGGGTCGAGGGGGGGGGGGGGGGTGGGTACGGTCAGGCTCTACAATTTCCATCACACAGAACATTTTTATTTTGCATGTCTTTCTTGGTTTTGAAGCGGAAAGATTAATATAATTCGCTATGATACTAGTTATTGAAACCTCTCGCATTTTAAATGCTCTGGAGGATAAATAAACAAGAACAGTAAACCTACGTCAGATGGCTCACAACCAGAATTATGCATTTTCAAAGCGACGAATACAAACCTTCAAAATATTTAATACGGTAGTATAATCGAATTCAATGCAAAATTTATTTTTATACTTTATTATATTCACAAAATAACTTTCCACTTAGACCCCTTCAAACAAGTCCCCTCAACGTTCAATAAAACAATGGACGTAAAATGTTGGTATGAAAAACATAAACTACGTACAATTTGGTACATCACTCGTTGATAGTGACGAGCAACAAAACTTTTATTGTTTACTACAGGGTACGCTTCACGCTTGCCAGGGCCTCAATAATAACGCATTACAACATACAAGAGCAGACAGTTTACTACAGGGTGCACTTGCCAGGGCCTCATTAATAACGCATTACAACATACAAGAGCAGACTGTTTACTACAGGGTACGCTTGCCAGGGCCTCAATGATAACGCATTACAACATACAAGAGCAGACTGTTTACTACAGGGTACGCTTGCCAGGGCCTCAATGATAACGCATTACAACATACAAGAGCAGACTGTTTACTACAGGGTACGCTTGCCAGGGCCTCAATAATAATGCATTATAATATACAAGAGCAGACTGTTTACTACAGGGTACGCTTGCCAGGGCCTCAATAATAACGCAATGCAACATACAAGAGCAGACTGTTTACTACAGGGTACGCTTGCTAGGGCCTCAATAATAACGCATTACAACATACAAGAGCAGACAGTTTACTACAGGGTACGCTTGCCAGGGCCTCAATAATAACGCATTACAACATACAAGAGCAGACTGTTTACTACAGGGTACGCTTGCCAGGGCCTCAATGATACCGCATTACAACTACAAGAGCAGACTGTTTACTACAGGGTACGCTTGCCAGGGCCTCAATGATAACGCATTACAACATACAAGAGCAGACTGTTTACTACAGGGTACGCTTGCCAGGGCCTCAATAATAATGCATTATAATATACAAGCGCAGACAGTTTACTACAGGGTACGCTTGCCAGGGCCTCAATAATAACGCATTACAACATACAAGAGCAGACAGTTTACTACAATACAGGGTACGCTTGCCAGGGCCTCAATAATAACGCATTACAACATACAAGAGCAGACTGTTTACTACAATACAGGGTACGCTTGCCAGGGCCTCAATAATAACGCATTACAACATACAAGAGCAGACTGTTTACTACAGGGTACGCTTGCCAGGGCCTCAATGATAACGCATTACAACATACAAGAGCAGACTGTTTACTACAGGGTACGCTTGCCAGGGCCTCAATGATAACGCATTACAACATACAAGAGCAGACTGTTTACTACAGGGTACGCTTGCCAGGGCCTCAATAATAACGCATTACAACATACAAGAGCAGACTGTTTACTACAATACAGGGTATAATGACACTAAATTACGTAATGCTACATCACGTGATGTTCACTTCAAGCCATATAACGTTATTATACCAAGATGGCATGAGCAGTCGTAGCTTGGAGTGCCGTTTGAAGGCTGGATTAATCTAAATTTTCTGATGTCATGAATAAACACTCTCCAGCTATTTTATTGTTCACTAATAAAGGTCAATTACACCGTGGTATACAGGTTAGTGATACATAATAATTATCATTATTTGGTGAAGACGTCGAAACATTCTGTAAGTATTGAACTATTGAAGATGATGTAATACTCAATACTCATTTAGTTTTAAGATATTTAACAGTATAATATGTAAGTTAAAGTATGTGACTAGAATAGAGTAGGAGCTATTCTTTACATATCAGTAAAATATATAGCAGTCTTCAAACTTAAGTAGAGGCCATACTAAGCTACCCAATTAATTAAGTAATAATTAATGGACAAGTTGACTGAACTTCCTATTTTGATCTGACAGGTACCACAAAGGTCATTTTATCAGCTTTCAGAAAGGAAAGATTACACTGCACAGAGCGAGGATACGTAATGCGGAAAGAAAGGAACGCAAGAAAGGAACGCTAGCTAGAGGGAGAGTCTCCAAAACGCGTAGAAAAGTACAATTAGCTACTTCCCCTGTATTTTTAGTGTGTCCTGAGAGACGCAGAACGGGATATTCAATAATATTGAGATACTACCAGGCCACGTAACGACACTTTTAAATAATTTCTATAGTTACACTAAATTTTAATCGTCTAATAACAATAATAAATTATATTGATTAATTATAGCAAACTAAGAATATAAACGAATACAACATCTTTGGAAAAAAGGCAGCATCGCGGAAGTTTCTAATTCTTCGGAAGATGAGTTTAAAAATGTGAAAATACATCCTCATTTCTGTGTTTGGCAGGAGGTATGAGGTATTTAGAGATAATCTCACTACGTACCTTGTGGTATGTGGCGCTCATTGCTAGTACTTGTTTACTAGCCGGTAACTGGGATGCCAGGCATTTCACTTGAGTGTAGAAACTATCGTCAACTAGCTTATCTGCTTCGTCTAGCACCAGCGTCCTGAGGCAACATCGTGTCAGTTGGTCCGTCCGTTCGTTGGTCCGTTTGCGCCGTGCATACAACATACATGAATACCTGCTTGAGTGCGGACACGAGTCTGTTCGTTTGTCCATTTTTTCGTTAGTCTTGTTTTGTTAAATTTAAATACGCCGTGAGTCAACCTATCAGAAGACGTTTGAACATATAGTTCATGAGATTCTCAAACCTACTATCATAATCCTGATTTACATTGGTAATGTGCCAATAACCCTGGTTACAAATTAGATGCAATACAATGCTTGTAGTTGTCACACTAAAATACCTATACTTTAGCGCTATAAGGTTTTAGAGTTTACTGTTCAGTTATTATTTACAACTGTACCCGTCTTTTAGTCTTCAGTACAGAACTTAAGATTTAAACAGGTGACCTTATCACTATGTTAAGGTTTACTAACTCCACATTTCGCAATGACATAACTTCTTAATAGCTTATAAAATCACAACGATTAACGATATAGGTAGCAATTACAAAGCAGCTGGGAGCATGAGCTGTTGCATTCCGTCATCCCAAACACACGTGTACGCGCGGTATGCAGTCCAGTAACTCTAATACCTGAGTAAGTAGCTGACTCTACACAGCACAATATATTATTAACCAGGTATGTAATGTTAACTAACCTGACACACTCTGTATCCAGCACACCATCTTCTATTAGATGTAGCAACCTCCCGGGGGTGCCTATTACAATGTGAGCTCCTAACACTGACTCCTGAACAGAACCAGGGTGAGGAGGAGGGAGGGGGAGGAAGGAGAAGAAAGGGGGGGGGGGGGGGGAGAGAGAGGAGGGGAAATACTTGATAATTTCTCAATTAACGAAAAGTAAAGTAGAGGTAAAGTTTAAGGGTTTTCATGAAAACTAACCTTATCTTCATTGACATCAGTTCCCCCAATAACAAGAGAACACTTGAGATGATTAATGTCACAAGATAGGACTGACAAGACGGTTCGTATCTGTGCTGCTATCTCTCTAGTGGGAGCAACAACTACACACTGACACTGGGAGAGGCACTGTTACTTCACACAGTCAAACAATCTAGTAATTATAATATAGTAATAAGTAATTAATTAATTATAACTTATTATTATTAAGTAGTCAGCCCGAACGTTGCATCCCCCGCCTGAACAAATACAAACCTTTTGAACTTTGATATTCATAGCCTCCAGTATAATAACTCCAAAGACGCAGGTTTTGCCTGTCCCAGATTTAGCCTGAGCAATGAGATCCAGTCCAATGCGCCCGATTGGAATAGCTTTCAACTGTATCGGTGAGGGGCGCTCAAAACCTATACAACAAAATCATTATTACCGATATTTAGTTGGTAATTAGTCATATCACAAAGTACTGTATTAATAGCACAGAGAGTGATGGCGTTACTCTCAGTGATTTCAGACATCATGACTTATTTGTGGTAAAAAAGAGCTAACCTGAGTTCTTGAGACCATTGAGAACTGCAGGGGAGAGATGCAGGGCAGAGAAATCAACATTCTCTTCGGTGAAAACATCGTTAGTCCTCTTGACCGCGTCGATTTTGTGCGCTATTGGCTGAACGTAACGCGGCATCTCTCACACCATCAGAGCTAATAAAGTTAGAAATTTATAATGTAAAGAGTGTGGGAAACTTAGAACTTTATTTTCCTAAGAAGATTGAAACATGAATATCATTACAATGACAACACATTAGGCCAAGGCAAGATCAGTTTATAAAACCGTTACTGTTCTAATAACAACTTACAATGATAAGACATGCCTGACAGAATGACCAGTTTTAAGAGAGATCGCAAAACCTCCCACTCAATTACCAGCTGTTTTGGAGCCAGCCAATAGCTCGGACTTACATTTCCCTTTAATACCTTAGTTTCTAAACTTTCGACATATCTTTCCCACTTCGGCATTTAAAGATCTAACATCGTTGTCATTTTTAAAAACTATTGCTTGCTAAGCATCTGAGCTAAAACGTCAACAGGCAATGGTTAAATACGTTCTAAACATGTTCCACAGTGGTTACTGCGAATACTGTAAGTCGGTAATGGTGTTTCAATTGGACAGCTAGCTAGACAGATAGATAAGGTCAGAGCTGGCAGTTCAGCTGTTCATTTCATTAACTAGTTCATCCTGGCAAGTACAGGCTGGGAAATGGTGAGCTCACCTAATAGCATTCCCATTACATGCCCAAAACCTACAGTTCCCTGAATAATTAGGTTCCATGAACCCATTATGTTCATAACCATTTTGATCTTTTCAGTTCAAAAGTCTCAGACCAAAGGCCAGGATCCCAAGGTTAGGTATTCACACTGTAATAAGTGTTTAAAAGTTGCCAAACCATTGCCTAATCACGAGAATTAGCAATGTGCGGAGCTGGGAAATTATGGTCGGATCAGTGACATAGGGGATAATGAGTACCACGTGCTAGACACGTGCTAGACACGTGGTGTGTCACGTGCTAAAGGCACAACCGTGAGATGGAGAGTTGCAACAAAAACCGTAACAGAGATTATCTTCTTATCTTTGCTACCTCTCATTCCTGTTTTTGTACAGCCGAATGTTTTATTGGGTTCTGTTTTGCAGGATATTTAACAGGTGGGTGTTTCCTTGTACTAAGGTTCAGCAGTGAAGTGATTTACTTAATTGTAGGAGGTTGTTAGTGCCTCCCAGCAGATGATGATTGCTCATTATCTTACATTTAGATAACACTCAGATCAACTCTCATATCGCCATTATTATATACGTGTATTTCCCATCTCTCTGGTGGATTGTGTTTTTGATTATGTGATTGTGCAATGTGCAATGTTTGCCACCAACTATTTGGAGAAACCAACCGTTCTTTCAGTCTTCCCCTCGCCTCCCTCGGCTGCAGTGATGAACATTTCAACAACTGAAGCGGAGACGTATATAGGGTTGGACCCCTACCATAATGACAGTGCACTCTTTACAAAGTGCAGAGACCTGAGGTGGAGGCACTCAGCGGACATGATGGTCGGGGTATTCTACCTGGTCATCTCTATTGTGGGCATCAGTGAGAACTTATACGTCTTCTATCAGATGGTACAGACTGTGAAGTTCCGCATAAATCAGGTGAGAACTTGTTTATCAGTTAATTTGTTTATTAGTTAATTTGTTTATTAGTTAAGATTATGATTCATTACGGAGTTTATATATTAAAGGATTATCATCCTTCAGTTCGATTAGAGTATTGTAATAAGCCGAGTAAAGTATTTAACTCAAAAAGTTTTTCATCAAATCCGAATAGAAAACCCCTCTCGATATATTGGTTTGTAACTTTGATTAAACTTTTTGATCGTACTAAAAAAATACGTTATTTTCAGGCCAGATGCTCTTTCTTCATATTCGTTGGCAACCTGGCAATCGGAGACATCCTTATATTGACACTGCCAATATGGTTTACGATACACGGTCTTTTCAACGACAGAACTATTACAAAAGAACCTGGAGATGCGTTAATAGGTATGTTATAGGAGAGGAGGAGGGGGTCCAATATAAGAGGAGAGGCGGGGTTCAATATCTCTATTAATATCTTTATCAATGTCTGTGGTCAAGGTCTTAGGCTTAAACTCTTAGAATTTAGAAAGTTGGAAGATAATGAATTCATAAGTAATGCATCTATGCATCGCCTTACTTCATCCCATAAGCTATTTATCCCTCTTCGGAACTCCATTTCATTAGTCAAATCTACCATTTTTCAGTGATGACAGTATTTATACACAGCTGCTGTGCACGCAGTTCCATCATATTCGTCATGTTCATAGCAGTGTTCAGGGTTATATCTGTGAAATACCCTCTTCACATTAGCAAGGTTAGTATATCTTAACTAGCAAGGTTAGTATATCTTAACTAACATCGTAAGTAAAATAAAGAATAAACCTTGAGTTAGACTAAGAAAGATAAAGAGCCTATTTTATTTGGTTTGATTAAAAAATACAACCTTGTTCAGGTAGAATGATGTTCCATTTAAATACTTAATTTCCTAATAATAATTTATTCATTAAATAACTGACACTATTAATAAATCTCCACAGGTATTTTCGATAGTAAGATCGATTATAGTGGCGTTCTTATCTTGGGTGCTTGTCGTGGTCTTGTCTATCTATTCTTTTGACGGAACTACCAAAAATGCTCTTTACAGTCGATCATCTGCTCTTTGCATGGTATAGTTAATATACCATATAAGTACTGATTTCAACGATATATTTTTCATCATGAACATTGAATAAAACACTAGGAATAGCCAGAATTATATATACATTAAATTGTTCTCATTCATTACATTTCCTTAATATATAAACCGTAACAGGTTATGTTAAGAGAGAAAGATAATGAGTCTATGTCCGTAGCAGGACAGATTTTAGCGCCCTTCTTAGTTCCCGGTATATTGACTTTCCTGGCTTTAATCTATTTGCTTATTTTCCTTTTGAGGGTGTATAACAGAAAGATGACAAAACTAAGAAACAACGATTCATCATACAGGTGTTCTGTTCAATCAAATAATACGTTTGAACTTTAATTTAATTTTAAATCATGATATAACTAACGAAATTATAAGGATATTAAATATTATTTTAAAAGAATACTAGAACATGATAATAGTAGTCATGAAGTAACATGATTCTCTAAGACCAGCAAGAGAGCGGGATTCCTTGATAATGACAGTGAAACTGACAGTTTGCTTTGTGGCCTTCTATACTCCATGGTACATTGATGGAATACTGGAGTTCAACAACACTTCAAGTGACCGAGCACAGAAGACCACCATGTTTAAAATCCACAACACTCTTACCTACACAACTTGTTTTGGCGGGTAAACACTTTACATTTCAATTAACTCTGTACATTTTAAATGGAGTTTTAGATAATGGATCATGAAGAACAAATAGTTCTAGCATCCAGGCATTACACAAATTATACTTTATCACATAGTCAACATGTGTCTTGTTCTCAGGTATTTTTGGCACAATCTATGTCTGGGAGGGTTTTTATTCATTGGATCAGCAGCGAATCCGTTTCTTTACGGAAGGACACTAGTTCACACATCGCAGCAGCTAGTTCATCGTGGTCTGGTGCAAACACTGTACACAGTTGTTACAGTGCACTACAGAGTGAGCAATGAATTATTATATCATTCTATTTATTATCCTTCTCAATAAGTAATATTCTTTATCTTTTAAATCTTAAGAATAATTTTGTTGATAACCAACTTTATTTTCAGTCTTTTCCTATTTGCAATTATTATTCATTATGGGAGGATCATCCTACTTATCCTTGCATTTTAAAACTTTGTAATAATAAATAATATTTATCATATTTTAATAATAATATAATGATGATTTAATCACATTTTAGAGGTTGAGAGGAGTGGTTGAAGATGAAGATGATCTTGAACAACAAGGTGTGGAAGTTATATCATCTGCCAATAACAGCCAGATCATGCTGCAGCAAAGATCAAAATGTATGTAGTTAGAATCAGTTTTACACTCCAATTTCAAGAAAACCTATCAAAAATCTAGTAACATATCAATATGTTCAAAAGGTAACCGAAACTTAGCATTTTATATTGTCAATTGGATAATAAATATAACCACTCTGTGGATCGAACAGTAATGCAAACTTTCTCAGCTCAACGGCACCACCCGCAGCACCATACGCAGCACCATGCACAGCACCTCCCGCAGCACCACCCACAGCCCTACCCACAGCCCTACCCACAACACCACCCACAACAGGCCTATTCTGAAAAAGACAGCACTGAGTCCCAAGAGCTCAGCAAGCACTCACTCCTTAGTGACCATCAGTCAGGATCCACGGCCCAACTGGTAGCAAAGTCAGAAACAAAGAAGAAGGAGCTCTCAAGGCGGTCATTAAAATCATCAGCTCATCGGGTGGAACACAGAGAACGAACTGACAAAACAACTAAGGTACGGGTTAAATACAGCAGCACGCGAGAGAAACGGGTTTAAGATAGTTTACTCTTTGAACTAATTCCCCTTAGACAATCTTGGGTCCTATTGTTATGATTTGAAGGACTATTATCAGAATATGAATATAACATGGTTGAGGGTTTGAGTTTCAAAGATCAAACAATGCTGTAACCCCTCAAGAAGTAATATGTTCAGTCAAGACATGATAAGTATCTGTACAGACAGAAATTAAAATCTTCAAATTGCATGTGTGGGAAGACTTATTGACTATTTGATAATTTCTTTATTTCATGTAGGTATTTCCTTTTTATTCGTGGTTTTTTTAGTGACTTTATGTATCATTCTGTAACATGCTGTACAAGGAGATTAGAACCATAATTAATTTTGGCAGGTATTTTTTTGAGACTTAATTTATCAATTTTGTTTTAAAATTGTTTGTTAAATAAAATTGTACTTATGTTACTAAAAATTACAAATATTTATTCATATCTATAAAACTAAATGAATACAAAATATACTGTGTTTCCAGCAGTAGCGTAACAATGCCTTTCCAGTTTGAGGTTTCATCTTTTATTAGATTTATTAATTTGTGATTTCCATCTGGATGTCAATGCAATAACAAAAAATATTCAACACTTACAAGGCAGTGAGAAACCTGAGGGAACCAAACTGATCCTGCACTGCCCCCAGAGAGATCAGATCATGACATTTAATCAGTGGTGTAACGAAGGGCCCCGCTTACCCCGCTGTGCAGGGGGGCGCCGTCTTAGGGGGGCGCCAAATCGACGTTTGAATGTGGGACAATTTCGAAAACTTTATTTAAGTCCTAGGAAAACTGCGCGTTTTGCTCTAGATACACACTTTTTTAGAGATGTTACCGGCGTATCCTCTAAAATCACCTCATTTGTTCAATTTTAAGGATGGGCACCAAAAGGGGAGGGGGTGCCAACAGGGGTCGCCTTTTTGGCGGGGGCGCCAACAGGCAACGTTACGCCACTGCATTCAATGTGATCCATGATCTTTCTGCTCCATTAGTGTATCTCTATAGGGATCGGGACTTTTGCTAAACAGGGGCTCTTGTATCAAGGGACTTGAGACGTAAGGCATGCAAGGGGAGTACCCGAGCCGATGAGGTGTTAAGGCCACAGGGGGGGGTCCGAGGTCGAAAAAAAGTTTTTTGCCAGTTGGCAGACCACGTACTATCTGACGCTTGCACACCACCCTTAGCCCCCCAGAGCGCCTAGTTTGTCGTAAAATTGAGGTTAACTATTGCCTTTTTAATCAGTTAACCTCACAAATAACCAGTTCTTAACATTTTGTTGCTCTCGTCACAAGTTAAACTTAATGGGTATCAATTGGCCATCCAATGTGAACAGAACTATTATATGTCCTTTATTTGTTGGAAAATTGAGGTTAACATATTTTCTCAGAATCATGGTCTTTTGACTCTCCTGAACAATTTATTTACCACCTCAAAAACCTATCTTCTCCTAGAGCTTTTATCCATTTCACCTCAAATTTGGAACTTATGTTCCTGAAATAAATTTAAAAGTTTGTTATGTAACGATTGTTGTAATTTTGCTCCTAACTCTTTTTATGAGGTTAACCATTTTAAATTTTGTAAATTTTGTAATTCTCACTCATGGTTAACCTCATATCTCAGCTTTGGAGCAAGATATCATAAATCGTTACATAACAAAAACTCAAAATACCTTTAAGAACATTGTTGGCAAGTTACAAGGTTCTAAGTCATAAACTAAAAAAGAAGATAGATTTTGAACACAATTGCATTTAAAGTTTTCATTTACAATAGAATTACAGGTAAACCTCAAAATTAAACGCGCGATATCTTCAAATAGGAAACTTTGTTTTCGGTAAGGACAAAAGCATTTGAAAATTTAGATCGAGCTCTACAACATATCTCAAAATCTCAAAATTGACCTCGGACCCCCCCCCCCCCCCCTGTGGCCTTAATACACAGCCTACATTTTAAGTATAAATATTAGAAGATAGAAGAGTGAAAATCATGCACACCTTCTTGAAATTCATCACTGGTCCAAGAGTAACTCAACACTTAACATTTGCTAGATTCTGACAGATACATCTACATTATACATTAATAAAACATTTACCATTGGTTACTCGAATGTTACTACTTCTCTGGTGGTTTTTAGTTGTGCATAATTGGTTCTTAAAGTAACGATATCCAGTTTCTCAGCACAATAAGACGCTTATGTCTGAGACAGTCTCTTCTTCGTGGCTGCACAAGCCACAAAGGAGAACTACTGGTGTTAGATTTTAAAAAGGTACGGATGATTATGTTCAGACCTTGTGATAAGGTGCACTGCAGTGCTGTATATGTCTGTTGTTAATACGTTGTCCTCAATAAGGCGTTTGATTAAGATAAACACCCTACGCGCGTGGGGTGGACTCCTGGGGTGGACTTTTATTCAGCGCGTATTTTGTAGCCTGTTCAACTTGACGTTTTGATTCGTTACTATCTCAATGTCACAGATACACAGAATGTGAGGTGATCATCTTAAAGAGAAACGTCTCAGCTTTCACCTGGTGTAAAGTTTATCTTTGTACTCAAAATATAGCTCGCTCAGTGTGCAATAGAAGTTGACAATACAATAACCACGTCTGCGACCGGTCGTCAGATACCGGAGTGTTGCACAAAATTGGGTCCCTAAATTAAAATTCTATGACACAGTTACCATGCAGAAATGTCTGGAGTAACATTTGGTGAAAATTTGAAGGGTCTACTGTAAATATTGCAAAAGTTATTGAAAACAAACTAGCTTAATCAGAAGTTTTTTGGGAAATTTCAAATTTTGTACGTAGTGGGGTCTACAGGGGTGGACTCTTGCGGCGCGCATCTGACGGAGTGGCTTTTTCAACAGCCGTCAGTACGGCCAATATCAGAGCACAAATTATTGTGAGTAAGACCTTAATGATCAGCTATGAACCCCTCACTAGAGTAGTAACCGTATCTAAAAACAAGGAAATGTTATTCCGTCAAAGCTCAAATTTTTTACTCTTCTCAGTGCAGTTAGTGTTACTATGAATGTACTAGCTAAGTATCGTTGATCGTAGCTGCATTACACAGTAGAAAGTAACCAAGGAAGACTGCTGATTAACGAAGCAATTTCAACGTGAACAGTTCCAAAATACATAATCATGGCGACGATAGTTCAACTTGAACCTTTATAGTTTTTACAGTCTAAAATCACAATAAAATCACGTGAACTGCAAATCACAAAATCAAATCACTCAAATCTGATAGTCCCGTTACAGTACGCTTTCGTGACAACCTCAACGCTTAAAAAATAAATATTATCCAGTCTTGTGACCACCGATGGCCCTAACTCTCCCTTGTCCGCGAGGAGCATCGTTGCGACCATGGGGTTTCAGTTCTTTGTTCTTCCCACTCGGCTTCGATAGATCGAATTGGCTGGAAGTCAATCTATCAGAAAGACCTTTGTCGATCTCAGGGGCGTGGTAAATTGTGGATGTCGGAGTATAAAGCTTCCTGAAAAGATTGAGACATTCACTCGGTCTGTTGTAAATATCAAATAGTCCTTGTAGGCAGAGATTTAACTTATGTTGGGTTTGATAACTAGAGAAGGCGATTTGATATTCATTGATAGTATAAGCATATAAGCATAAGTGATAAGTTTATATACCCTTTTTATGGTACCTCGAGGCTCGATATCTGTATTCAGTAATCATCACTCAAAATCTACTTATTAAATTTATTAACTAAACAAGTTAATGTATTACCGTCCTAGAGAGGTTTCCTGAGAATTTGAAGTCTCTGTAGGTTGCTGGCATGTCTACTAAGCTCTTCGATTGAGGAGTTTTGGACCCCTCGGCGGTCCAAATGATTTATAATGCTGTGGGCATTTTCAACATCTATCGAGGTAAACGCCCTCGCAGCATAACCTGTAGAGAATGAACATGTCATCAATGTGAAGTTCAATGATAAAAATCAGAGTGGCCGATTTCAACGGGCAGAATTCTAATATCATGGCCATGGGGAATGGACTATTTTTTGTCGATTTTGCAAACCAAACTGGCAAACGATTGTTGATTTTCGTCACTAGTCTAAAATGAATGCAAACGTTCGGCCGAACATTTACATGATTAGAAACTTACCGGTTTCTTTCGTTATTATGTACAGACATGGCCGGGCTTGGGTTCAACATACGATATCTTCTATCAGATTAAAGTTGAACCCACACTTTGTACTGCTCGTGGGAGGAGGAAAGCAAACGGAGACCTTTTCCATGAGCATCTCGTGTAGTACCATCATCATGTCGATTCTGATATCAGCTGCAAAATTCGTCTATTACTAAATGCTAGCTTTTCGAACTTCGTATCTTGGAAATAACAACTTCTATGAAAGAACACACACACACACACACACACACACACACACACACACACACACACACACACACACACACACACACACACACACACACACACACACACACACACACACACACACACACACACACACACACACACACACACACACACACACACACACACACACACACACACACACACACACACACACACACACACACACACACACACACACACACACACACACACACACACACACACACACACACAGATACACACACCCACAAACACATACAGACATAGACACACACACACAGAGACACAGACATACAGGCATACAGGCATAAACACAGACACAGACGGACACACAGACAGACACACAGACAGACACAGTTACACACAGACAAGGACACACAGACACACACCCACAAACACATACAGACATAGACACACAGACACAGGCATAAACACAGACACACACAGACACAGACGGACACACAGACAGACACAGTACACACAGACACACACAGACACACACAGACACACACACATAAACACACATAGTTCACTTCAGTGCACTACATTACAATTACAGACACACGCAGTACAATCAGAGACACACACACGATACAAAGACAGACACAGACACAAACACACAGAGTACACTTCAGTACAATCACAGACGCAGGCACAAAGACATATACAAGAAGAGCAGGTTGAAGTACCTTCATTTGCAGATGTTGACGCATTGATCTGTGGGATATGTTCTTCAGTCTGTAACTGATCATCTGCTAGAACTGTCTCATCTGGATCAACCGGAGGAGTATCTTCCGGCAGGAGTCTGAGTGGGTCTATCGGGACAGCCATGGATCGCTCTCCCTACCTTGTTGAATTAAAGACAAAGGTCAACGACGGATGTCGCATGTTAGTCCTGTGACTAAATGTAATCCAAAATAGTGAATAAATAATTTTTACATCTGAACGATTGTATGTCTGAATGGTGATTTTTAATCAATGAACAAAAGTTCAGGATTTTACCTTCTGTTAAGCTGTTAGC